TGTCCTCAGAGGCCTTCGCCTATGTCGCCTGCTCCCCGGCTTGTTGGGAAGAATCCTGTGGGGTGACTGCGTCATCCCCGCTGCAGATGAAGCGCCAACCTAGCTTCTAACATTTTCCCACTATCCAGGCGCAGACAGGCCCCTCCTCAGTCAGTCTGGAGAGTTCTCTCTACCGGATTCCCGGACTCCTCGCTTGTAGAGACGGAAGGAGAGGCAGCCGGTCGCTTCCCGGTGATGTGAGGGGAGCAAAGACCCGAGGAGGAACACAGAGGGCAGAAACCCGTCTTTGGGGGACCAGCTTTCTGTTTTCAGAAGCAGATGGGGGAGATGACACTGGTCATAATCGAGGGCCCCTGAGATTGTCCCTTGGCGAGAGGTCCTGCAGTGGGGGCGCTTGGGTTACCAGCAGGAGACCAGCAGCCTGGCAGCCTGGCCCCTCCGCCTTCTGCTTGCTCAGGTCGCCCCTCTTCTCCCTCTTCCAGCAGTGCTGAGTCTTTTCCCTGTTACTGTCGCTTTTCCTTCCCTGACAGCTGAAGAATTAGATTCTCTAACCTGAGCAAAGCAGAGACCGAGTCTTCAGAACGCTCCCAAGGCTTTGCGTTCCTGAACTACTTGGGACTTTGTTTTCTTTATCTTAATGATCTCACTGCCACCGATTTTAGTCATCAAAAGCTGGTGGGGTGTGGGGCTGACCTTTGCTCCCCCTGCTGGCTGTGTTGGTTTTTGCGATCAGATTCATTAATTTATGAAGGCGGCGCGTATTTATGGAAGTCATTACGTGGTGCTGGGCTGAGGCGAGTGAATGATTTACAAGGTACCACCCAGTTCCCCTTCTCCCTCGCCCCCCAAGCCACCTTACTTTCTCCGGTGGGAATCTCCTTTCATCCTGACCCTAGGCCCACGAGCCCCGTGAAATCCAGCAGTGGGCGCATGTGCATTTCTGGAGTAACAAGGGCCATGGATTTCATCAGCTTCTCAAAGGGGTCTGCGGTAACTCAAACCAAGTATTGACTGTCACTGATGCGGGTCAGGCTTCCTGTCTGCTGAGGAACTGAGTCCCAGAGAAAGGCAAAACTGCAGCCGGCAGTGGGCCCAGACTCTAGCACACGGGCTGTAAAACGTGGGGGCCGGGGGTGTCTCCCTGGTGGTGCAGCAGGTTAAAGTGCAGCGCTGAGACGCTCACGCCACTTCAGCACGAGTTCGATCCCCGCCCCGGAGGTGACCCGCATGGCGCGGCAGACCTCTCCTGGCCCGCCCGCTGCTCCCCTCAGCAGTGTGCTTTGTCAGTCTGCCTGTTCTGCTCCCCGCTCTGTCTCTGGTGAATCCTCTTATCACCTCTGGCCTGCACCCCAGTTCCGTATGCATGAATAAATAAATCTTTAAAACAAACAACATGCGAGGAGGCGAGGGGATCTTCCTCTGTGGTGTCAGGCGTACTGGTGACAGTGCTGACCCATGCTGGGCGTGTCAGGCACATTCTCTCGCAGTCTCTTCCTGCCTCCAGTTCTCCCTGCCCAACATGGGAGCTTAGTGTCTTCAGGACCAGCCTCGGGTCTCGCTGCTGCTGTCCTGGGTACCCGTGGCTCCTGCACTCCCTGGGCGGTGCAGCGTGCGTCTGAGCAAGCCCCTGGCCGCTGTGTGAAGCCGGCACGTCCGTCATAGCGCCCAGCTAATTCTTCTTTTCTTTCTTTTAATTCTTCTTTTCTTATCATCTGAGCTCCTTAGGCTTATGCCTGGCAGTGTGGAGTCCTTACCTCCAAAAGAGCTTTTTTCATTTTGAACTTGGCCGTGAGGGAGCAAAATACAGATTTTTATTTCTTTATTTACTATCCATAAAGTTTGGGTTTATTAGAAGAAAGGGAAGGAGAGGACGCTTGCCCAGATACACGCGGGCAGGAGACCTGGGCTTATTTATAAAGCAGGCTGAGGGAGAGCATTTTGTTTCCTCTTGACGGTGCTGGTACCCTTGGTGTGGCCATCATTTCTCTGGGGCCGTGAAGAACTTTCTAGGAATCCCTCTGGATTCTTACTTGTGCCCTTTCAGCTCTGGGGATGGCATCTGCTAACTCTACAATGGCCTCTTGCTGTTCTCTACCCCCACCCCATGAATCTTAATTAGTCCGAGGTCTCAAATACCCGTCTCCCTGCTCCCAGCACACTCTTCTGCTGTGTTCCCTTACTAGAAGCTTTGTGAGTAGGCACACAAGTGGAGAACTTTTACCCAGAGCTGCCTGGGCAGAACCTTTGCCCGGCCGTAATCCTGACGAAGCTGCAGGTTACCCAAAGGCCCACAGGGGGCAGCACTGGGAACGCGGCGCCTCTCCGGGCGGCTGTGTGCTGGGGGAGGGGACCCTCCAGCCTGAGGTTGCATGCACCGTTTTAGAAGCCCTGAGTGAGATCAAAGAGGCCTCTGCTGCAGCCAGGCCAGTTGCTTGTTGGGCATTGTTTCTGCGTCCTGAAGAGGCCTGTTCAGTTTTCTTGATAATAAAAATTTACATGAAAATCTGACTTGAGCCACCAACCTCCCACAGACCAGTCTGCCTCCACACCCTTTCCAGGTGCCATTAGCATTTGAGGTGAAGTTCTGTTATACACTCAGGCTGTGGCTCTGAAAGTCAGTGCATCACAGAACTTTGTCTCGAAAGCTTTCTAGCAGCTACCCATGTGGGAGGGAAGAATAGGTCTTTTAAAAATCCTTTGAACACGGGCCTAAGCTCGTAGGGTTTTTCTCAGTCATCAGCATTTAATGTGCTGCAAGGTCAACCTTGCCCATTGTCCAGAAAGCCCATTTCTCAAGATCTGGGAGTTATTTATAAACTTGCCCTTTGCAAAAACTTAAAATGAAATTACATTATCAGTAATGGCTTCTGGGGCCTTTAAACTGGCAGGTTTAATGGTGAGAGAGGACTCCTGGCCCTCCCCACTCCTGAGAGAGAGAGGCCCCAGGCTCGCGGCAGCTGCTGCAGTCGGGAGGTGGCAGAAGTGAAGGGGACGCGCTGGCAGAGGGCGGCAGACGGGCAGCCAGGGCCGCCGAGACTCTCAGCGCCCCTTAGCGAGGCCGTTCCCTGGAAGCCCGAATCACTGGGCCTCTCTCTGGCACCTTCTTACGCTTTCCAGCACTGTAATAAATCAGTCGTCTGCTTGCCGCCTTTGCCCGACTCTTAGCCGTCCCAGGAAAGGCCAGTGTTTCCATTTCTGGAGAACATCCTGGAGGGGCCAGTGACAAAGCCCAGGGCAGGGCCCGGCCAGCTGTGTCTTCTTGCCAGCCGCTGGGCATCATGCCACTGGCCGCAGAGGGCATTTCTGACTCCTAGCTGGCCAGGACCACAGGCTTTGCCCCTCTGTGAGTTCCCGTTCTTTCTAGGGATGGCAGCTCCCTCCTCAGGAACAGTTACCTCTGCCCTGTCAGTGCCCTCAGGGCGCCATGCCTGTGGAGAGAGGAACAGGGCCAAAGACTGCCTGGGGGAGAGGCATGGGGAGAGGAAGTCTGAGGAAGCTGTATCCCCCGTTGGGGAATTGAGGGTCCGAGGATGGAGCCTTATAGGAGGGTCTTTTCTGTGGGAATTAGGAGTTAGGGAAGAGCTTCCGCCTGACATTTCCAGGTGATACACCTTCCCTCTGCTACACACAGTTCCTTGGCTCAAGCGTGCTTCAGAGCACTGTGTAAAGATGGGGCGTCTCTATGTCGGTCGGGGTATCACCCGAAGCGGCCATGCCAGAAACCCCACTTCTGTGTGAACGTCTTCTCCTGAGAGGGGCCTCCCCTGCTTCTTGCTTGTTGATGCCTTTGCCTTATTCTCAAGTTTCATTTATTCTCTCAATCCTTCGACGTATTTTAAGGGTTTCAGACGTGGCAGGTTTTCTTCTGAACACGAGGGACTAGTCAGTGGGCGGAGCGTGGACGTTGCCGTTCTCAAGAATCCAGTGGGGAAGGCTCACGTTCTTCAGCGCTCCGTGGCTCTCCTGGGATCCCCAGGCTGGGGTTGATGCTCTCAGGGCCGTGAACCCCCTGAGCCTTCCAGGCCGGCCACCCGTGGGCCACAGCCCACGCTGCTACCGACGGCTCCTTCCCCGCTCTTGGGCGGGTCTCTTAGACACATCCCGGGAGAGTGTTGGCCCCTGTGAGGGGGCAGGCTCCCTGTGTCTGGCCACGCAGCAGCCTGTGGTGGAGAGGGAGAGGGACGGGAGGGAAGACCGATGAGCGCGTGGAGAAGGCGTCTGCGGAGACTCGCGCGTCCCTCCTGTCCCTCCCTCTTGTCCTCTTCGCTTCCCTACGAGGTGCAGGAGCGGAAGAGCTGCTTGCTCGGAGTTGCTTGTGTTTCAGTGTAACCGCTGAGACGGAGCCGTGCGCCTTGGAGGGAGCCGGTATCCCTCAGGTTCGATTTGTGGTAATGAAAGAAGTTCAGGTTCGTTTTGTCTGCAGGTTGAGTGGTCACAGGGCCAGTAGAGGAGTTGGGGTCATCGTCGTGGGGAAGGGATGGCTCACTGGGCCTCATCAGAATTGGGGTGTGCGTGGGCACCTCACACGCGCACGCTCACGGGGGCTGGCTCAGGAGGCCTGCCTGTGGCCCCGCGCTGGGATTGCGCAGGCTGCCTCTCTGCCCGCGGCCTCGCGCACTGTGAATTATTCCGCTCACGTTCCACCCCACCTGTGCGCGGGACACCAGGGAGGGAGGTCATTGGAAAGTAACTGCAGCATGATGTTTACTGCTTGGAAAGGACAGCAGGCCCTGCCTTGGTCCGGCCCTCTCTCTGCCTCAGGCTCAGAGAGCTGACGTGCCGCGGGGTCCTTTGCTGAGCGCCCCCGCCTCAGCTCAGTGAGCTCCGTTGGCCCTGTGCTCGTGCGCAGTGGGGAATGGCAGCCTAGACGGGGTGCGCCAGGGGGCTCTGCAGAGTCACCTCTGCGTCCCCTTGCGTCCTCGGGGGGACGAGTGGCAGGTGGCTCGTTTGCCAGGTGACAGCGGCCTTCAGGACTGAAGGTTCTTCTCATGTCTCCTCAGGAACCCTCCCTGTACACGGTCAAAGCCATCCTGATCCTGGACAATGACGGAGATCGCCTTTTTGCCAAGGTGAGATCCCCTTTCAAGTGAGGAGCAAGACAAAGACTTCCTCTGGGATTTGGACTGAACTCCCAGCCCTGGGGTTACGGTTACGGCTGACACCGTCCGCGCCGTCTAGTGACCCTGCTTCCTTTGCCGCCTCATCGGAGCAGAGCAGAGCTCGGCAGCGCTGCTTTCTGGACAGCAGCGTCCAGATGGGGGCAGCGGCCTGCCCACCCCACGTCCCTGCGCCCTGTCCCTTCTGCTTGTCCCCCAGCGTGGGCCCTCCCAGGCGCCGCCCTCGGTCGCAGTCACCGCCAGTGTCTCCTGACGCCCCCAGCGTGAGGTTTCTAACTTTGGAGCTATTGAAAGAGAGGGGAAAGGACACCCCTCTCCTCTCCCGCTGTATTCTCCCCCTCCTTGGAGATTTTTTTCTGTCCCTGGTGTATTAACTCCGAGCGAGCACAGCATAAATCAATCAGCAGGTAGAGATTAGTTTAGAATTCACCAGCTGTTCCTCCCTGTAATTGGATGTAACTACGCAGGACACCTTTTGAAACAGTTATCCAGTTACTAAATGCCAGACCTGTCATAGGTCTTCAGCTGACTGCGACGGATTAGCCCCTGAAGAGCAGAGGCATTTAGCGCGCGCGTCTCCGCCCCTTGCCAGGGAGCGCGGCGGCTCAGCACCAGCTCCGCGGCTGCCCGCTTCCTTCCGCGCAGCGAGGCGGGCTGAGGCGTGAGGAGGCCTGCGGAAGCCTGCGGCCCTTCCCGATTCCCCGACGCCATCCAGGGAGTGAGGACCTGGAAGAAGTGTCCGTGCCGCTAGTCTGCGCCTTCGGCGCTCGCTCGGCACCACTCACCTGGCGCCAGGTGGCTCCTGGAGCCCCGAGCAGAGGCGGGGCCTGGTCAGCAGGGCTGCAGGCCTCTGCCTGCACGGTTTTAGCACTGTGAGGTGCAGTCTGTGAGGTGCAGTCGCTTCTAGCAGGGCCCCTTCAGCTTTCCTGGGCAGGGGTGCTCTTCAGCTGCCCGCCGTCCCTGCCCTCAGAGCCTCCTCCGTGCGGGTGCTTCTCCCTCACCCCATGGAGGAGGGCGCCAGGGGCTAGGGCCGAACAGCCGCTCATGGCCCCGGGCTGCGGGCGCCAGTGACCGACCCGTCTCCTCTCCCCGACCAGTACTATGACGACACGTACCCCAGCGTCAAGGAGCAGAAGGCCTTTGAGAAGAACATTTTCAACAAGACCCATCGGACTGACAGTAGGTCGCGTTCCCTCGCTGCCCCGTGTTGGGCGGGAGGGTGCCCGCGCCACGGCGGAGGATGGAACGACTGCCTCCTTTCCCTCTTTTTTCCTCCTCCCCGCATATAATAAACTCTTCAGAAATGTAATGGGGAGGTGAGTGTACCTCACGCGGGAATACCGTGCTGGAAGGTTGGCTGTTAGCTACCTGTCTAGTCCCTGGATTTATGAGCCTCACTTGACAAATTTAACTGCAGCTCTGCTTATTGTACCGCATCCATTAGGGCAGGTAAATGGAAGTCTGTAAAGGTGACCGCTCTGCATTTTCACCTCCGAAGGATCCACTAGCATCCTGCCTCATACGCAGGAGGGAAGTTGGGGTGGTGGGGGAGGGTGGCCGGAGGAGAGCTTACGTGCAGACTCCCCGAGCAGATACTTCTGCCTCCGCCCACAAAGGTAAAGTAGGCCACCTCAGCCTGGGGGGTCGCCAGGCCCTGCCTCCCCTCGGCCCAGAGAGGCTGATACCCAGGGGCTCGGGGACGCCGTCTGCCCTCCTTGCTCGCGCCAGGCTTCCCACCTGTCGTCCCCCGCCCCCAGGTGAAATCGCCCTCTTGGAAGGCCTGACAGTGGTCTACAAAAGCAGCATCGACCTCTATTTCTATGTGATCGGCAGCTCCTATGAAAATGAGGTGAGAACGCCCGCCCGCCGCTTTCTGACCCTGCGCCTGAACCGCAGGCAGCACACAGTCGCTGCTGGCTCTGGCCCGGCTGAGCCCGGCTGCCGCCCGAGCTCACAAAGTTGTCAGAGGTCCCCACCAGCGGCGCCACCAGCGTGACCTAGTGTGAATCAGCCTCGGACGGGAAGTTGTTTTCCCGAGTCTGCCTTACACCTCAGTGTGGGAATCATCACACAAGTGCACTGCTGGTTGACACGCTCTGCCAGTGAGCTCCCTGGAAGGTGTCTTTTAAGTCGAATGTCTGGGCTGTGGTCGTGGCGGGGGCTCCTTGCTGCTGCTATGGAGGGGCTGCCCTGCCTGAGCCTGTCGGTCAGCTAGCATTCCGGGCCTTCTGTGTGTTTAAAGATTTATTTTTATTATTTATGCATAGAACTGGGGTACAGGCCAGAGAAACGGGGTGAGAGAACTCACCAGAGACAGAGGGAGCAGAGTAGGTAGATTGACTGAGTCCACTGCTGAGGGAGCAGCGGGAGACAAGAGGGGTCTGCTGCGCCCTGTGGGTCACCCCCCTGGCTGGAGATCGAACTCGTGCTGCGGTGGCTGGTGCTTGTTCATTCACAGTGCTGAGACTAACCCCTGGGCCACCAGGGAGGCCAGCATTCTAGGTCTTGTTGAAACATCACTTGAGAAGATCGGTGTCATCTTCATTGGCGCCCTATAGGCAGGAAAAGCTGTTTACTTCAGGTACCAAACTTCTAACTTGAGGCACAAGCACGAGTTTGAGGCAGCCAGCTCTCGCTGAGCTCATGAGCACTCCTGTGAGTGGTGGCCATTAGCGCCTGGAGCCGTGCGAAGTAACATGTATGAGCACTGTGGGACTGCAGCAGTGAGAGTTCCGGGCCTCCCTGGCGGCCTAGGGGCGGAATCTCAGCGCTTTCACCTCTCTGGCCTGAGCTTTCACCTCTCTGGCCTGAGCTGGATTCCCGGCAGGGAGGGACCCCCAGGGCGCAGCAGACCTCTCCTGCCTCCCGCTGCTCCCTCAGCAGTGAATTCCAGTGGATCTGCTTGTTCTGTTCCCTGCTGTGTCTCTGGTGATTCCTCTCACCCCCTGCACCTCTGGCCTGTGCCCCAGCTCTTTCTATGTAAAAATAAATAGAATCTTTAAAAAAAAAAAAATCCCAAAGACAAAAGTAGCTTTATGTGGCTCAGCCTGACGATTTTCCCAGGGTTGGGTCACACCTCTAGGAGTGGCTCAGTGTGGTTAAGCCCGGATCAGTCTGACCCCAAAGCCCACGTTCTCTCCACCAACTCTTTGACCTCAGCTACTGCTGGTTAATGATTTCTCTACCTAAGACACCAGCTAACACATGCACACTTGGCACAGACGAAGAGGACAAAGACAGGAAAGTTCTGTTTGAACCATGGCCAGAGCCCTCAGGCTGTGGGGTTGCAGAGCAGAATGATTTACGGGAGAAACCACAGGCCCCCTTCCTGTTAGCTCTCACTGCTACCTCAGCTTTCGGCCCTTGGGGAAAGCCCGTGCGGCTGATGTTTAATGAACAATAGTGTTTTGTTTTCAGGTGCCAGCTGCCAGGGCCTTGAACCTTACCTGTTGCTGCTTCTGTCTCCCAACAGTTAATGCTCATGGCTGTTCTGAACTGCCTGTTTGACTCGCTGAGCCAGATGCTGAGGTGAGCAGGCCACTTCTGATGTCCGCTTGGGAGGAAAGTCACTGCTCTTCCAGCCCGGGGCTGGTGGGGGGTCTGTGGAAGCCGAAGGAGTCCGCTTAGTTTGAGAAGTCGGACCTGTCATTCCAGGAATTTGCGCTGATGGGGAGGGTGGGACAGACAGCATGTCCCTCCAGGACAGTTCTCCTAAGGAAGGGAGTTGGGAGGGAGCAAACCTTCAACTCTGTCTACTCTCGTACTCTCCAGTGGGCCTGCTGGACTGGTGGGCACCCTGGAGAGGTCTCCTGGGCTTCATTCTTCACATTAGCGGTAGAGAGAGGCCACGCGAGGGAAGGTCCCAGCTGAAGCATCTGGACTGTGGCCGTGCGGGCGAGACTTTTTCTCACCTCAAGCTCTTAGTATTTCCCCCTGGAGAAGGGGAGGGATGCGTGTGCCATTTACCCTCCCCTCCCTTCACCCTCCCCACCAGCCCTCTGTTCCCCGTGGAGATGGGCAAAGAAGAGATATAAGCTCCTTTTCTGAAAATACTGTGGGCTTGACCCCCCGGCAGCCCCCAGGTGAACCCAGCACAGACAGCCTCGGAGCAGGGCAGCAGGCGCCTCGGCCCCACAAAAGCAGCAGGGCGAGTGGCCCAGACTTCCTCAGGAAGGGGATGAGTTATGTCTGAGCCAGGTGAATGAACAGACTTCATTTCGGCTGATGAGTGAAAGCGTCAGACTGACGGATGCGGTGGCCACAGGCACCTGCATGGCTCTGAGGCTGGTGGGTGCTGACTGACCGCACACCGCCGCCCCCTCGCTGGGCTTCCCTTCGGCCCACGCAGAGCTGGTGAGGGAGGGGGCGGGCAAGCGGAGAGAGGGCCAGAGGCTTGTGGGGCCTGAGTGTGAGCACTCTGTACTCAACCCCTGCACTCCCCCCTCCAGGCTGCGTTTTCACCCCCTCTCCCCCCCATATCTGTGTGCGTGTCACGGCAGCATCCCGGCAGGCAGGAAAGTAGTGGTAGCTCCGAATGAGCAACCGAGAATCGTCAGAAATGTTCTGTTTTCACTCTCGAGCCTGGCAGTGCCAACCTTACTCAGCAGATGAAGTGCAGGGCAGGATTGCGAGGGAGCCAGCTCAGAAGTTGCTTTATTGACTCCTTCACCCTGTGACTCGTTAGTCCAGCCGAGGACCCCGCTAGCCAGTCTCCTAGGATTTCTGTCACACACAGCTGCCTTTTCTCTCCTTCTGGGGACTCAGGAAGAATGTAGAAAAGCGGGCTCTGCTGGAGAACATGGAAGGGCTCTTCTTGGCTGTGGACGAAATCGTCGACGGAGGGTGAGTTCCTGTGGGCTGCCCAGACCACCTGTGACTGGGGTGTGGGCTGAGGGGCGGGCAGGGTAACTGTCCCGTTCGAAGGTGAGTGGACCACAGGCCTGGCTCCCACGGTAAGTTACCAGGACAGAATGAACGATGGTCTCTTCTTTGTCTTTGTAGGGTGATCTTAGAGAGCGACCCCCAGCAAGTGGTACACCGGGTGGCACTGAGGGTAAGCAGGGCGGTGTTCCCCAGCTCCCCGCCTGCTCGCCCTCTAGGGCCAGGCCTGCTGAAGCACGGTCAGGGCGGGGCTCAGAGAGTGGACAGCGGCTTGCCTTTCAAATCTCCATTGCCCCAGAGAAGGCAAGCAGAGGGCATGCGTTTCCTCCTCTCCTGGTCCTGGGGCGGCTCCTAGTCTTTGTGCAAAGTGGATAGTTCGTGCATACTCATTGAATCAGTGATTAAATGAAAGGATATCATTGATGGCGCTGAAATGACCAACGGACGAGCTTTAGGTTCTGCTTCCATGGGGACGGGCCGTAGTCTTCAGAGGCGAGGAGTGTCTTTCTTCTTTCACAACCTTATTTAACTGAGGACAGCGCCTCTCCTTTGGAAGCGCTGACTTGCCCAATCTGTCCTCTTTGGCGCCAGTGATACCAGAAAGGGGCGTCTGAGTTAGGCACAGAAACTCCCGGTCTGCTGGGAAGGTAACGGGGTACAGAGAGAGCCCACTAGCAAATTGCGGAGGTGTGGAGATGTCAGAGCACTCACAGATGTCCCGGCTCTGACCTCCACAGAGTGGAAGCTGACAGTGCTGGGTAATGGGAAATCTTCTCCCTTAACTGCCGTGGGCTCCATTTGCATAGTTTAATCTTCTCCTCTAACATATGTCTCTATGTGGCAAGAGAGAGCTCCCCCCACCCCCAAATCAACTCCCTCCTTCTCCTTCTCAGGCTGCTGTTGCAGCAGTTTATTTCTTCAAATTAACATGCTGCCGTTACCCATCAGGCCTTGCGGGATCCATTAAGCTACCCCTGCTCCCCCTCATCCTTTCCCTAGTGATATTGGTATTCAGGGAAGGTCTTTGTGACCAGGGAGTTGGGTCCCCACACCCAAGTTGGGCATCAGATAACCTGCTGATTCCTTGGAATGAGTCTTTAAGGAGTCTTCATGCCTTAAAATAGGATGGATAAATTGGTCCTTTTTTGCGCACAGTCCCTCTGGCCACATAAAGTCATGGTTGCAGTGATCCCCAGAAGGGACCGCGGCGTTAGGGCATCTGCCCTTTGCTTCCATCTGAGGGGCCTGATCTTCCTCTTCCCTCACTAAACCCGAGGCAGGCCCCTCTTCCGCCTTCTCCCCTGCTGATCGCTTGTTTCTCTGCTACAGGGTGAAGACGTGCCCCTTACAGAGCAGACAGTGTCTCAGGTATGACTCCTCCTTGTCCCTCGCTAGCTGCTCTGGTCCCTGAAGAGGTAGACAGCATTCCACACCCCCTTCCGTCTGAATGGGACCAGAGCCTGAGGACACATCTTTGGCTGCCCATTATTCCAGAAAACTGGGGCTCCCCTACAGCCAAATGCTCCCTGCTCCAACTCCCAGCCATTTTTGGTGAGCTGTGGCATGAGCTGTGGCGGGAGCCTTGCTCTGTACCCTTCAAATCCTCCCTGCCTGATGCCTCCTTCAGTGATTTATTCACCAGCAGAGGTTTGCCTTAAGCAGATGGTCTGTGTGCACACATACTCGCTTTCTCTTATTATTCAAATGAGGCTAAGCTGGAAATGCATATTCCAGAAGAGGCAGGTTTTGCAGCTCCAGCCGCTAGTTGCTGAGAGATTTGCTTACCTGATGGGGGGCGGGGGTGAAGGGAGAGAGTCTGTTCTATCCACAAGGATGACTCACCAACAAGTCCATCGGGAGGTGGTACCCCGACTTTTTTTAACATGGCCAGTATCCCCCAGTGTTTTCTTTCCTCCCAGGTATACCTCTTCTCTCTTCACCCCCCCAGTGGATTTGAATTTGTTTGGAATTTGCCCAACTGACAGTCCTGGAGGGCTTAGAGGGCTTAGAGAGCTTCTTCCCACCCCTCTATCCTTGGGGGTTTTTCCTATTTGTCATTCTCTAAGGACAGGGAAGGCAAGTGAGGGCAAGGAGAGCCCCCACCCCCACCCCCCAGCAGATCCCTCCATGCCCCCTTGTCTCCACAGGTGCTGCAGTCAGCCAAAGAGCAGATCAAGTGGTCACTCCTTCGGTGATCAAGTGGTCACTCCTTCGGTGATCAAGTGGGCACTCCTTTGGTGAAGACCCCATTGTCCCTGGTTCCTCACCCCTCAAAAACCCCACCTCTGCTGTGACTACTCATCTAGTCCCCCAACTGATGTTCTCAGGGTCATCCCGGGATCACAAGAGATCCTTAAGTCTCCACTCCCTCTGTGGTTGGCCACCCCCACCCTTACCTGGATCCTTGCCCCTCAGTCTTGCAGTTCTGGGGGTACAGCTCCCCACAGATTTGTACCGAGAGCAGGGAGAGCACCCCTGTCTAGGAAGGAGCTGGAATATGCTCCAGACACCCCCCCATTGCCTCATATTTGCGCCTCAACTTCTGTGTCCTTTGCAGCCACACTTCAGAGCAGGAGAAACAATGTCCTGAGTAATTTTCCCCCTTGCCTTTGCCCGGCCTTCACCCCCACAGAGGAGGGGCGGGGTAGAGGTATGGCCAGCCCCAGCCCCAGCTGCAGCCACAGCCCACAGCCCCACTCTGGTTTAGGAGCTTTCTCTGCTTCCTCCTCACTGTCCGATTTTCCAGCCTTGGGAAAAGGCCGGGCTCACAGGCATAGCCGGCTGGAGCAAGCAGTGATTGCAGGGTCCCGGACAGGGCTCCGAAAGTCTTGCTCAGTCACAGCTGCCTCTTGTACCGGGCCTGGCTTCTGGCTTCAGGGCGCTGTGCTGCCTTGCAGGAGAGTGGGGTGTGGTGGCCGGCACCTTAACTGGCCACCTTTACTCTCCAGGGCCTTTGCCCGGCTTGTCCTTTCTGTGGCCTGGAGCAGGGCCAGCCACCGAACTAAAACTCCTTTCTAGTCTTGGGAAGAAGAGTTTCTGTCAGAACTGGGGAGGGGTTTAGGGCTGAGCCTCTGGGCTCCCTGGTCCCCAGCCCCTTGGCTGCCCCTCCCCCACGCTCTCCTGGGCCCTGGGCCTGCCTCTCTGCTGAACCCTCTCCTCTGCCTCTGCCCACATCCAGGCTGTAGGCCTCGGCTCTTCACTCCCGGGGTCAATGAGAGAGGTGCCTTTTTTCAGAAAACCTTTGGGGTGTAGCTTCACCCTGATGATGGAGGATAGAGCACTCACCCTTTGGCCCCAAACCTTCCCACAAAAATGCCTCAGAAAACCTTCCTGAGCCTGAAGGGCTCTGCCCTACCCATCAACTGCCAGTTCCCCAAGACTGAAGGAGGGGGGGAGGATAACCGGGCACATCCGAGGGGCATTTGCGGGAGAGTTGTGTGGAGCCAGGAGACGCTGCCTTCCCGGTGCAAAGAGGAATAAAACGCATTTCTTTTTCCAAACTGCCTTTGTGTGGTGCCTCTATTCCTCTTCCCCTCTTTTTGGCAGCTGCGCCTATTCCTCTAGCCCCCCCTCCTACCCCACCTTATAATATTTCTTCCCTCCTACCTCAGAGACTCCCCGAAATCCCTAATTTACGGGGCTGTTTGCCTCCTTGGCACCTCTCGCCCCCTCGCCTGGAAATTGGCGCCAGGGATGGGGTGCGGATGGTATTTTCTCAGTGGGAGTCCCAGGGAACCGAGCTCTCCCCCCAGCAGCCCCAAAGCCAGCTGCCGGCTCCCGCCCCGGCCATTAGTAACCCAGAGACGCGCACCTGCGTGGGGGCGCCCCTCCAGCCCCGCTCCCTCCCCGCGCCTCCCGCCCCCGCTCCGAAATGGCGCTGAGCGGGTTATTTATCGGAGCCAGCGCTGCTCCAGAAGGTCAGGACGGCGGTGTAAATAACGTCTCCTCGCCGTTCCCCCGTCCCCCCGGAGCCCGCGCCCCTCCCCCTCCCCCTTTATCCGCGCAAATGAATGTGGCTGGGCTGGCGCGGAGCCTGGCCCTGCATCTTAATGGGGCGGTGAGCTCACTAGATGGATTTAGCCGGGGGTGTTATGGTTGCCGCGGCGACAGAAGGCTTTGGTTTTCTTCCCCTTCCTCGGCGGGACTTCAAGGAGGGGCGAGGGTGGGGAGCCCTCCGCGCCGCGACGGGAAGGGGCGCCTCAGCCACCTTCCCGCTCACGGCGGCCGCGGCGCCGGCGCC